CTCCCCAACACTGGACGCATCCAATGCTGCTGAGAACGTGCAGCAATAGGACTTCCATTCACTGCTGGTGCCACTTGGAAAGGCAGTCTGGCAGGTCCTTCCAAGCTAAACGTCGGCTCACCATATGACCCAGTAATCATGCTCCTAGGTATTTACCCAAATGATATGAAAACATGTCCACAAAAAGACACACATACAAATGTTCATGCGGCATTATTCATAACTGCCAAAACTGAAAGCAACCAAGGCGTCCTTCAATAGGTAAACGGATAAACTGTAGTACATTTATGCAAAGAAATATTGTGAACAATAAAAAGAAATGAGTCATGAACAACTGTATGGCAACTAACTGGATAATCTAAATGAAATGGACAAATTCCGAGAAGCACACAACCTACTCAAACTGACTCAAGAGGAAATATAAAGTCTCAACAGACCCACAAGTGTAGAGATTGAATCGATGATCAAAAACCTCCCAACAGAAAACGGTCCTACACGAGATGGCTTTACTGGGCCATTTTACCAAGTGTTTAGAGAAGAGCTGACACCAACACTGTTTACACTCTTCCAAAAGATAAGAGAAGGAAGGAATAATCCCTAATTCATTCTTTGAAACAAACATAATCCTGATACTCAAACCATATAAAGACACCAGAAGAAAACTCTCTTATGCACATAGTCTCTCTTACAAACAGATACAAAAATCTCCAACAAAAAAAAGTAGTAAATACAGTCCACCAGCCTATTAAGAGAGTCATCCACCATGACCAAGTGGGATTTATTGCAGGAATGCAGGAATGCAATTCACACCAACAGAACAGAGGAAAGAACGATATGATCGTGTATATGGATACAGAAAAAGCATCTCGTAAAATTTAATGCCCTTTCTCAATGGAAGCCCTAAAGAAGACTGGAATAGAAGGGAAACGCCTCTATATGATTCAAGGCAGACATGAAAAGCTAACAGCCAACATCACACCTAGCAGACAAAGACTTTCCCCTTGAAACCAAGAGTAAGCAAAGGTGCCCACTTTCATCGTTTCTATTCAATATTATATTGGAAGTCCTAGCCAGAGCATTAAGTCAAGGAAAAGAAATCAAAGGTATCTAGATTGGAAAAGAAAAAGTAAAATTCTCTCTATTCGCTGGTGGTATGATCCTATACAGAGAAGATCCCAAAAGGTTCACAGGAAAATTCTACAGCTAACAGAGGAATTTAGCGAAGTTTCAGAGTATAAGGTCAACAAAAGAAAATCAGTCACGTTTCTGTACGTGAGCAATGGGAAATTTGAAACAATTAGGTAAACAATTCCATTTATAATAGCATTAATAGCATCTAATAGAATAGCATACCTAGGAATAAATCTAACCTGGGACATGAAGGACTTACACAAGGAAAATTATAAAACACAGCTGAAAGAGATTAAATAAACAGAAAAATGTGCCATGTCCATGGCTTAGAAGACTGAATACTGTTAAGATGCCAAAACTACTCAAAGTGGTCTATAGATTGAACGTAATCTCAATCAAAATTCCAAGAGCCTTTTAATAGTAATATAAAACCAATCCTCAACTTTATATGGAATAGTAAGAGGCTCCAAATAGCTAAAATAATGCTGAAAGAGAAGACCAAACTAGGAAGACTCACACTTCCTAATGCGAAAGCATACTATCCAGTTACAATCATCAAAATTGCCTGGTATTAGTGTAACAACAGACACATAGATTCAATGGAATAAAACTCAGAGTCCAGAAATAAACCCACACATCTAAGATCTAATGATTTTTGACAAGAGTGCTAATAAGTCCATTCGATGGGGAGAGAATATAGCTAAACAATATTTAACAAATATTGTTTAGGTAAATTTGATTTCCATATGCCAAAAAAAAAAAAAAAAAAACCAGGATCCCTGCCTCACACCATGCACAAAAAGAAATTCAAAATGGATTAAAGACCTAGCTGTGCGAGCTAAAAATCATACAATTCTTAGAAAAACAAGCATGAAAAACACCGTCAGACCTGGCTTTCAACAGTGGATTATCTAATATAATAACAAAAGCAAAAAGAGCGAAAGACAAAATAAATAAATGGAACCGCATAAAAACTGAAAATTTTCTTCATCAAAAACTTCACCAAAAAAAAGTGAAAAGACAAGCTACCAACTGGGAGAATACCTTTGGAAACCACATTATCTTACAGAATCTAGTAACCAATATACATATATATAGATACATATATAAAACTTTGACAATTTAATAAAAAAGACAAACAACTCAATCACAAAATGAGCAAAGGACTTGAATAGACAGTTCAACAAAGAAGACATCCAGCCAGCCACCAAACACATGAAAAGATGCTTGAGTCATTAGCCATCTGAGAGATGCAAATCAAAACCACAATGAGATACCATTACACTCCCAACTTGGATGGTTAAGAAACAGAAAATAACAAACACTGGCGAGGATGTGAGAAAATTGGAATCTTTATCCACTGCTGATGGGAATGCAAAATGGTACATCTGGAAAACAATGTGGTGGTACCTCAAAAAACTAAAAATAGAACCACCATAAACCAAAAATCCAACCCAAACCCACTGCTGCCAATAATGACTCACAGCAACCATACAGGACATAGCAGAACTGCCTCATGGGGTTTCCAAGGCTGTAAATCTTTTCAAAAGCCAATTGGCATGTCTTTCTCCTGCAGAGCAGCTGGTGGGTTCAAACCTACCTTCTGTTAGTAGCCCAGTGCATGAACCACTGCACCACCAGGGCTCCTTACGACTATCATATGACCCAGCAATGCCATCCTTAGGTAAATAAATACCCAAAAGACTTCAAAGTAGAGAATCAAAAAAAGACTTGCACACCAATGTTCACTGCAGCACTGTTCACAACAGCCAAAGGGTGAGACACCACCTCAAGGTCCATCAACACATGACTGGGTAAGTAGAATGTGATACACACTATCAGCCTATCGGAAAAACTAAGTCTTAATACATGCTACCCTATGGATAAAGCTTGAAGACATTACGCTGAGCAAAATAAGTCAGTAACAGAGGGAAAAATACTGTTATGACCTCACTTATATAAAAAGAAAAGAACGGGCAACTGTATAGAGACCCAAGTTTATTTATGAGGAGGGAGGGGATTAGGGGTGTTAACCCTGATACAAAAATCGCACTGATCAAGGGTAGCGTTGCACAGCCGATTACTGTAACTGCTATGAGTAAGCTGTGTACCTGTGAAAAGTTGAATGGCCAAAAGTTGTGTGACAGATATATTTACGACAATGACAAAAAAAAAAACAGAGTAACTGCTGAGGCTGCTTATGTACAACCAAACACATGTCATGGGATTTGGTCCCCTGCTTTGAAGATTTAGGGTCACTGTTTTATGGGACATCCCAGTTAATTGGCCTAACAACATGTTTAGTACTTTTACTCTACCTCCTAATTCACTGCATAGTGCCTGGGGGTCCTAACACCTTTCAAGGACCATCCAACGAGTAACAATTGGTCTCTATTCACCTGGAACCAAAAAGGAAGGACAACAGTCAGGAAGGGGAGAAGGATGTGGAACGAACTGCCTCTGTGAACAACTACCACCTCTGCTGTGAGACAAGACTGGATGGTCCCAGCTACCATTACTGAACATCTGACCGAAGATTCCAGAAAAGAATCTTTATCAAAACAGAATTTCAAAGGACTGTAGACCTTCTGGAGCCACAGAAGGTAGACAGCCCCCTAAAACTAATGGCCTCAGATAATCTTTGAAGCTCAAACCATAAATATCCCCGAAGACTTCTGAAGCCAAACAGTAGTTCAGCCTAACTAGTACAAACGCCTGTCTTGAGCACTGGACTCTTTAAGAACTATGTATATGGGCTCCAAGTGACAACAGCCACTCCAAAGATTGGACAGGAACCTGGGGGGCAGTGAGTTTATGGGAACGATGGAAGCAACTCAGGAGAGGCGGGTGCAGGCGGCTGGACAACTCGCAGAATGCCGTCAGTGTCCCCGACCTGTCCGAGGGGAAACCGCTGAACTGACAGATGCTTTGCGATGTTATATTCTCAACAACAAAAAAGGAAATAAAATTAAATTTAAAAAAAAATTAGCTCCAACGCCATGAAAAAGCATGGAGTAACCACAGCTGTATGTTGCTACGTGAAGATCAGCAGTCTGAGAAAGCTGCCCACCACAGGGTTCCAACCGTCTGACCTCCTAGAGAAGGCCGACCAGAGAGTGAAAAACGATCAGCGGCTGCCAGGAGTCCAAGCGGGGAGGGAAAAGTGGGAGCCCAGGCCCCGTTCAGGGCAGTGATGCCATCCTACGTCATTCGGCAGACTCCGCAGCTGTGTGCATTGAGTGTGGGCACCACCCAGGATCTCCCCAAACAGATCAGGCCAAAGAGCTCACATCAAGACACATCACAAGTAACCGTGTGCAACGACAAAGACATCTGCCAAGCAACCAGAGAGAAACAACACATTATCTCCAAGGGCAAAGACCGAGACTTACGGAATCTCTCACGAATGAATGCCCACAAGGCACCCGTCAACCTCTAATCTTGAGTGAGCCACCGACTGCTGCCGCTATGGCTTCATCTACCTCCTCCCAGGGCACCCTGCATATTTTCACAACTTCTTGGGGTTTTTTTCCTCTTACACTGGGAATGCCCACCCTCTCCTACTCACCATCTTCCAACCATTCCTCTCACCCTTCAATGCCTCCTCAGACCTCCTCATTCAGACTTTCTGAGTCAGCATGAATCAATTACCCATTACTGTTCAATTCCCTCATCAGAATTCCAATTTTCACTGTGTGTCTCATCTCTCAGAGGTGGTAAGCTCTTTGAGGGTAATCCCCAACAACGGGCTATGCACACAACGGTCCCTAAATCGGCATGACAAGAACCTGCTGTCTTTAGAAATGAATGACAGACATAACTGTTTGAGACATCTGCAGGGCAATGCTGGGTCTGCCCGAGATACTCACGGCCACTCTGACTCGGGCTGCATCTGGTGAGCTTCTATGACGCCGATGGCGATATTGAGGTTTTCCTGCAGCTCATGCATTCTCTCAGGATTAAGGGTTGTGAACATAATCATTGACGAGTAGGCCACAATCTTTCTGTCATGATGATTTAAGCAGGTACTTCAAACAGAGAGAGGAAACTTTAGCCCAATTGAACAACACGGTAAAATACGTTTATAACAGACATGATAATAACCTCATTAACAAATTCAGTACAGGTAGATGTTTGGGAGAAAGAATTACAGCACTTTAAAACAAGTGCATTATATACTGTAACAAGATCTAATTAAAAATATAAAATCAGTCACAATAAAAACTACCCAATGTTAAAGCTGTCGCTGATTTATAACTTCAAAGCAAAAAGCAAAGTAACAACACTGATCAAAGAAAAAAGACTAAATTATTACATTTATAAAGCAGGAAAATGCTCATTCTCATTAAACAAAAAAAGGAAAAGAGAAAATGGTAACTCGACAACACAGGCTTCCCTCACAGCTGTGAGAGGCCGAATGTCCAAGGAAAACAGAGAACTTGGAGTCGCGTGCCTCAGTGCACAGCCTGGCTAACCTGTCAGCTCTGACAATGGATTGTCAGTTATTTTATAGGTCACACAGTATGACAGGATTTGGGTTTTTTTTCCATTTGAACTTCCTCACATTCTTCTGAGTGGAGGTATTATTCCCGTGTTACAGAAAAGCTCTGTGGAAACTGAGGCTCCGAGACCAGGCACGTTACTCCCTGGGGGCACAAGCCACAGCCTGCGGAGGCAGAACTCACACTTGGTTGTGTCTGTCTCCCACACATGTCAACAGTGAAGTCCCATCACCGCCTTCAACATGCGTGCTGCTATCAAACACGACGTGCATCCAGAGCCCTGTCCACCTAGCTCACAGGCCTTGTCAGGACCCACAGGGTCTGTGAGACCCCCACAGAAACCGCGCAGACTTCCCGACTGTGCTATGCCGAGCAAAGGCCTCACCTGTTTCTCCAGGACGCCCAGGGTTCACCCCAGCTGTATTCGTAATGACACTGCCCCTTTACTGCCCCACCAGAGCACGGGCTCACTGGGGGTAAGGAAAGCATCTCAGTGACCAGTGTGGTCCAGTCACTCAACGGCCCACCACAGGCACGCCAGCACAAAACCTGACACACAGCAGGTGTCCAAAATGTTTGGAGGAAATGAATTTTCAAAATAAGTAACTGTTCTCTCTGCAGCTTGAATCCCTCAATGTCTCTCCCACCCAAGTGCACTGATCAGAATCAGAAGCCTCACAAGCCCTTACACAGCTTCAGCCCCAACTCTGTGCAGGGATCCGAGAGCCAATCACAGATCCATAGCTAGAAGGACCCGAGACGGTGTGTGTCTCATACCCGAGACTGCAAGCACTGTGAGTGAGGGCCAAGGAGAGCTACGCAGCCAGGGATTTCCGACGAACGGAGGCTGTGGACCCAGAGAGCGCACAGGCCTTATAGCCCAGCCAGGCCACTTACCACCACGAGCTTCAGTCGCCCGTCTGTCAAAACCAGGGTAATACCACTTTCTTTGCAAGGCCGTTGTAAAGCACAGGGATGATGCACCTAAAAGGTCCACCTCAGGGCATTGGGACAACAGCTGCTGCCACCACCAAAGCCATCCCATTCACTGGCAACAGAACCTGGGTGAGAAGCCAGCCCTCCCACTCACAAAGGGGTCGTTTCTGTTACCTATCCTGCCCCCAGCACCTGCTCACCTGTACCTCAATGCTCAACTACATAGGAATCAACAGAGCTGGCTGAGAAAAAAGCAGGCACTCACCCAGGAAAAGACAAGGATCCCATCTGGCTACACGGATCGGACCCCGTATCTCATATTCTCCAAACCTCCCAGACATCAGAGCACTGCACGAAGCACACGCAAAGTGCTCACAAACAGGACTCACTGACTGTCCACACTTCTTTCATCATTCCAGAGTTCTACGTCCAAGTTTTCGTCCTTATAAATGTCAGCATCTGCAATGTTCTTCCTATTTGAACTATAACCCTTGTTTCTTTAACTAAAGTGAAACTGGGCAACAACACACACAGCTCAGTGAGCGCTCGGCTAAGTCTCACCGCACCCAGACCGAGGTCAAGGGCGTCTCCGGGCTCCACCAGGCTCCATCACTGCAGCCCTGCACGGGCTTCGGTCAGCCGAGGGTAGCTCTGGCTGGTTTTGAACTTCGCATTAATCGGATGATGTAGCCACACTCTTCTCAGACTCAGAAAAACTCTTGTCTAGGTACTCACAAGAAGAGTTCCGGGAAAGCATGGGTCCAAACGACAGACTGGGACTCTTCATTCCGTGAGGCCACGTTGCCCAGGAACTGCAGGCCGCAGCGGAAAGCTGAGAAGACACCAGGGCAAAACCAGAGTTAGAGGACTAACCAGTATTTAAACACAAAAGGAATAAACAAATGGGTCTTGATAAGAACTGTTTGCCATGTTATTGAATGGCAAGTCTCTCTCTTCCTCTCTAGACCTTTCAGAAAGGTCTCTCACAACCTAACTTTTGGCACGCCTCACTAGAACAACTGATTCCATACCAAATCAATTAGTTTCACAAAATAGATGGTTAATGTCAGCACAAGCAGCTGCAATGACCCTGAATGTCATGGGAAGAGGAGTGCCTAGTAAAAGGCAGTGACTCTGAGACTGGATTTTGAAAACTCTAACTACATTGCTGTTTCATAAAGACATCTAAAACTGCCAAAATACTAAAAGCTAGATAACAGAAGAAAGATACACTGGGCAAATGCCAGCCTGAGCAGGAAGTCTGACTAGTTCAAATTAGACACAATAAACCCTACAGCAGAAAGCAGTGACGATTCAAGGAAAAAAACAGTCATTTCAGAATGACTCCCTAGGCATCACAGATGGGTGGGGCTCGGCCGCAAAGCACGGGCGATGACTGTTGAATGAGGTGAGACTCCTGGTGTCAGGAGCCGTGCAGTGGCCTCTGACTCACAGCCACTCTGCACTATTACGACACGCGAGGAAACGGAGGCACCAAGTCGTACGCTGCCCAAGGCAAGCAGCGAGGCAGGCCCAGCCCGAGCCAGAGTGCTGGGCCAGGACCCTCCACTGAAACAACACAGCTGGTATCTGGCCAGTTTACACTGGCATGGCGACGCTGACTATGAAAATATTAACACACTTCTGTACTTAATGGGGATCAACTTAAAGGACGTTCTGTTCAGTGAAGTCAGTCAATCACAGAAGGGCAAACACTGTATGAGTCCACTACTGTAAAAAGTCCAGGAGAGGTTTACATGGGAAGGAAACCTTTGTTTGTCACCAGGGATGGGAGAGGAGGGAAAACTGCTTGACAGGTAAGAGGCAAGTATTGATCTGGGCGAAGGGAAAGGCAATACACCAAAAGTGAGGGAGCAGCACACCACCACTTAGGAAAACGAACACACAGAGAGGTGCACAAGAGGGACGGCCAATGAAGATACACACTTTTACACACACACAATCGTACGTTACCAGTAGCAACAACCTACAGGGAGACACAAAGGGAGACAGGCTGAATGACCAGGGATGTCTGGGCAAAAGGAAACACACCCGGGGTGCAGTGACTTACCCGGCACGGCTTTTTCGGCCATGGTCTTTGTGACTCCCACCCGATTACTGGGTGGAACCAGGCAAACAGGGCGTGAGGAACTCTAACGGGGGGACTGGGTCACTCTGCCAGGCTTAAAATGAGCCTTCCCAGAGGCAGAAGGGGGGATCTCCGTGCCATCAAAAGAGAAGAGCTGGAGGTGAAGTGGGGCGTGTCCCTGGACCTGTGATCCCTGTGCCGGACCTCCTTGGCCCTCAGCAGATGACCCGCAGACAGACAGGACCGGCAGAGACGACCAGCTGAGGAACTAAGAGGCCTGAGAGGGCAGCGGCTTGCTGCCCACAGAGCGAGAAAGCTGGGGGTGCCCTCAGGCAGGAGGCTTGCTGGTGGAGTGGGGTGCCCCTAGGTGCACCTATCGGCAGAGCTTTGCAACGCTTGCCCGAGCAGGGCAGAGGCCAGGCCGAGAGGCCAAGGGCCAGAGGCGTGCCTGAGGGTACAGCAGAGGGGAGACCGTCCTGATCGAAGAACTGGATCCTGGGAGCTTCCTGAACCTGAGTTCAGGTTCAGGAGCCTGTTACTGACAGCCTGAGCCTGTTACTTCCCTAATAAACCCCATAATCATGAGCATTGTCTGTGAGTTCTGTGTGGGCATTGCAATGAATTACCAGACTCAGCAGAACAGCAGTGAGTGCTGTGGGAGGGACGGCTGGTGTCAGAGTTGGTACAAAGGCTAGAGGGTGGCAGCAGGTCTGGCCTCACAGGAATCAGCCTTGGGTTGCTGATGGTGACTCTCTTTCCTTGTGAGTTTGGAGGAGGTCAGAGGAGGATGCCATCCCCATGACCTTTTTAAAAAACCCATGACCATATGTAACTTTGACAGATGATATCTCTATATGTGTATCTGTATGTGCTATAAAAATGTCCATACATAAAATACAGCTAACAGGGCAAAGTTATGATAACTTCTTAGCCACAGCCAAACACCGTGTGGGAAATGAGTTACTGGGCCCATGGGCTCGCAACCATGTCGTAGGGCCCATCAAACTCAACTGGCATTACAGACTACACAAAAATATTGTTCTACCCCCTACTTTGGCGAGTCACAACGAGGGTCTTAAAAGCTTTCAAGCAGCCATCTCAGATTCAACAATTGGTCTCTCCTCTGGAGCAACGAAGAATAAAGAAAACCAAAGACTCATGGAAACAATGAGCTTATGGGACTAGTGGACCATGCGAACCTCAGCCAACATGACCCTGAGACCAGAACTAGACGGTGCCCGGTTACCACTGTCAACCCTTGGAAAGGAGAGATCCTGGACTCAATGGGAGAAAAATGTGGAACAAAACTCAAAATCATAAAAAAAACCAGGCTTACGGGTCTGACACAGACTGGCGAAGCCCCCAAGACCATGACCTCCAGTCACGCTTTGCGACAGACAGGCGTGTAAGGGGAACACTTACACCAGGGAGGTACACTCCTTAGAACACTCACCCATGGGAGATCAGAAGGGCAGCATTTGCACAGGGAGACAGCTCAGCGCAGGAAGGCTCAGGAAAGAAGGACAGGGAAAAGGCAACCGCAGGGAGGAAGTGGGAGGACAGCTGTTACACTGTGGGGGTTGCAGTCAATGTCATGAAACAAAATGTGTATGCACTATTGTATGGAAAATGAATTTCCTCTGTAAACTTTCACCTAAATCATAATTAAAAAAAAAAAAAAAAAAAACTTCTGTACTTTGTGGTACTGTGGTTAAGGCATTCAGCTGCTAACAAAAGCACTGGCAGTTCGAACCCACCGCCTGCTCCGCGGGAGAAAGATGAAGCAGTCTGCTTCCGTGAAGACTGACAGCTCTGGACACCCTCTGGGGCACTTCCACTGCAGGAGATACCTGCGAGTCAGAGCTGACTCAACGGCAGTGGGTTTGTTTGGGTTTGGTACATTGTGGTAACCAGACATTGCTTCCCACTGAGTGCCTACCCCTAACCCAGACCCCT